TCCAGCACCGTTTATTAAAGAGGCTATCTTTCCTCCAGTGAGGGTGTTTGGCTCCTTTGTCAAAGATGAGGTGGCTGAGTGTATTTGGAGTTGTTTCTGCATCTTCTAATCTGTTCCACTGGTCTGGGAATTTTGAACTTAAAAACTGGGTGTATTTATTACACAGCACAAGCCTAGCTAATCAGGTTCTATTTTTTACACATTAAACTGATGCAAGAGACATGAGCTAGAACTTAAGATCTTGCTTCTATAGTAGAGATAGATTTGATAAACACCACCTTCTCTTCCAAAATCACTGATTTGTGAGGCAAGGATTTAAGTGACAAAGAGCCAGAATCTGGCCAGAGCAGCCAGCTGCCAACTAAAATCAAGGTCTTAAAATTACCAATTTTCCTAACTTCAGGGATGCCTGGGGGCATTAATATCTTACATTATGTTATGCATAATCAGTAACTCAACCTGCACTACCATACTATCCTCAGCAACCGCTGACCTAATTTGGTGGGCTGCAAAGACAGTAAGCTTTGTGTCTGGCTAGAGTAGCTCAGTTCTCCTTAAGGTGGCTTAAGGAGAATGGATTCAACCAGTCCTTGAGAGCAAAGCCAAGTGGTACCCTCAACCCCTAAAGACCAGTAAGGCTTGATTTGTTCCAACTCTCAATTTTTTTCCCCTCTTTAACCTTCCCTCTCCCCAATCTACATGAATACCTAAATATAGCATATGTACCATAAATCAGATAAAGGGTATAAATAATGCCATGTAAGTAATTTTTAAAGAAAATCTTATCATATTAACATTCAGGGAAGTCTAGCACCAAGAACAATTATTAAAGACAGTACAAATTTATTACAAAGGATATTTCTTAAATGATCCCTGTGTGATTTGCTCCAGAGTGATCAGGAATTGCAAAGTGGAAAAAATATAACAGAAATGAAAGTATAATTATCTTGTATTTCATCGCTGAATCTGATTACAACTTTTATAGTTTACCTACCTCAAGTTTAAGTAGGTCAGCATCTGCAGATTAATAATGGCCTCAGGAATGACTCTGATACAATTGTGATACAGATTAAGAATTTCCAGTGATACAAAATGGCACAATTCCATTGGAACTTCAACCAGTCTGTTTTTAGACAAATCTGTAAGAAAAGGAAAGAGTATTTTGTCAATAAATCTTCAAGGTACTCAGAACAATCTTACCAACCATGAATACTGTTTTTCTTAATATTGCAATCTAAATTTAGATCAACATTATCATTTTTTGCACCTCTATAACTACAGCACTGCGGTTTCCATTTCCTAGCCAAATTCAGAAACACTTGGGATACAGAAAGCTAAAGTATTACCAAAACTTTTTAATTCTCTAAATTAATTTGTCGATCTGGCCACATAAAGTGAATATTTTACTCATTTGAAAAATTATGCGGTGTGATGGAAAAATGTAATAAGTGTTTACAGTTTTGGTTTTTTTTTTTTTGGTACCGGGGATCGAACTCGGGTCCTTGTGCTTGCGCAGCAGGCGGTGAAACCACTGAGCTAAATCCCCGGCCTTACAGTTTTTAAAAATTTCATTACAGTAAAAGACATATCCCCAACAATCTCCCTCAAAATACGGTATACTTCCTTGCTTGGAATATGCTTATCCCATTGTTCTGCCACTTTCTGAAGCAGTCCCACAAGTATTCCCTCATGAGTGTCGATAGTTGTGCTGTAGTGGCTGCCTTAATGTCCTGAACTGATTCTATTTACCTTTCATGGTCATTTTGACTTTAGTAAAGAGCCAGAAGTCATGCAATGGCAGATCCAATGAATAAGGTGAATGAGGACACATTAGGAATATTTTTACAAGCTTCTCTTTCTGTTGGATGACACTTGGCAATAGCATTCACTGATTTTTAATTGCACTTCATAAAAACACAAAAGTGGACTCCCAGAACTGATTCAGAAAGTGACAAGAATGATGGGATAAGTATGTTCAAAGTGACAGGGAGAATTGTGAGCAGCATCAATGGCATTGTGTCCTTTAATGTAATAAATTTTATTTAAACACACATTGTATTTTTTGGTCAGACCTTGTATCTCAAACTCAGTTTAACCTAGACAATTATTTAACATTCTATGCTTTACTATATATGAATAAAAAAGCCAAGCGTGGTAGCACACGCCTGTAGTAGTCCTAGCACTCAGGAGGCTGAGGCAACAGAATTGAGTGTTTGAGGCCAGCCTGGGGAATTTAGCAAGTTTGAGGTCAGCCTGAGCTGTACAACAAGACTCTCTCTCAAAAGCAAACAAGGATTATATATTTATAAAATTATGGTGAGCACATGTATTTATCATAATTATTAATTCAATTTTGCATTCATCATATGTTTTGTCCTTCCAATTGAGTATAATCACTTTTTTACACAAGAAACATGTATTCTATACCTTCTTCAAAGACACATAATAGACACTAAAATAAATATTTTCTTCATTAGAAATAGCACCTATAGGGCTCGGGGTGTAGCTCAGTGGCTCTATGTCTGCCTGGCAAGTGCATGGCCCTGAATTCAATTCCCAGTGCAAGGAAGAAAGGGAAGGGGAGGGAAGGGGAGGGGAGGGGAGGGGAGGGAAATAGTACCTATAATGTTCAAGACAGATTAATCATGTATCTAGTAAGAACCAGCAGGGAGTCTGCCCCATGACTACCAGTAGAACTGGAGCCGCTGGCCAAGTGTACAGAGATGTTATCACTCAGCAAAGAAGGTACACAAAAGGGAATCTACCCACAAATCTCCATTTTAAATCCAGATGTAAATCCTAAATTTAAAAATTAGCAAACAGAAGTGAGTAGCATATAAAAATGTCAACACACTAGGAATAAATAAGTGGAGTTGGTTCTAGAAATATAAAAATCCTATAAAATAATTCACCACATAAATAGAACAAATGTGAAATAACGTAACTGTTTCCATGGATACTACATTCATTCTTTTTAAAAACAATCTTATTGAGGTGTATTTTATGTTTCATAAAATTGACCAATTAAAACTTATAATTCAGTGATCTCTAGTTATCTTACTGAGTGGTGCATTCATCATCATATATCAATTTTAGAACACTTATGTTCATTATTAACAGTAGGAACATAGAGGAACATAGTTGGATATTATCTATCTACCTGTCTATACATACATACATACCTACATACATACATACATACATACACATACATATACATGCATACACATAAGCGACAGAAATAATGCATTAATTTACTGCTAAATCATGAAAAAGACTAGAAATGGTACCATAAGGTGAAGATATTGCTACTAAAATTGCTACTAATATTTACCATTGTTCATTTACGAGCTAAAGACACAGGTAGTAAAAAAGAAAAACCAAAATTGAAATGGAGAAGACAGAATTATTATTACTTTTTTTGTTGTTTTTTTGGTACTGGAATTGAACTCCAGACCTTGTGATTGCGAGGCAGGCGGCAGAACCACTGAGCTAAATCTGCACCCCAACAAAATTATTATTTACAGATAGTATATATGACTATTATCCTGGAAAATCTAAGAGTATCAACAGAAAACCTATTTCAAGTGATGTAGGAATTTAGTAAAGGTATACAGGAGAAAATTCAAATGCTAAAACAATAGTCTTTACAATTCAAATTGGAACAGAAGAGGTCTTATTTATAAAAGAAAAAGATCAAAGGAGTAAAACACCTAGAAAAACCTTAAGAAATAGAAAAAGTTTATATGAAAAAAATGTTAAATGTAACATAAAACATAAACCAATTAAAGATATCTCCCCCAAAAAACCCTCAAAATCAGAAAGTGGCAATTCCAAGTTATACCTATATAATTTAGTGCACTCCTAATTTTAAAAAACTCATGTTTTTTAATTACTGGAATTATTAGACAAGTTAATTCTAAGTTCACATGATAAGACAGGTGCCTCTCCAAAAGACTACAAGAGAACCAGCTCTCCTAGATATTGAAACATATATCATAAGGCAGTGTGTGGACAAATGGGAATATCAATAGAACAAATTACAAAGGCAGGGATATGGTCAAAGATGGAAATCTTGTACACAATAAAGGTAGCACTTTAAATCACAGGCCTTCCAGCAAATGGCATGTAGCAAGATTGATAAGTTTGAGCCATAAAAGTAAAAATTAGAGCACTTTAAAACAAAAACTCAACCATTAACATAAATGATAAGCAAGGAATTAGGGGGTGTCCTTTAATTCATAAACTAAATAGGCTAATCTTTTATAACTATAAAAGCCTAGCTATACCTAGCCAATCATACCAATCTTATATAAATACTCTTTCACCAATGGGTTTCCAAATATATGACTTGTCTCTGAGTATCATCTAATTTTCAAGTAACTTTGTTACTGAAAGAGAGGGAGAGAGTCCAAAAAACGGGTGTTTGTTTTTCAAAGCTTTCCTTAGGCTAATGTGGGAATCACCTTGTAGCTTTGAGAATGCACTAACTTACAATGGGGAAGATGCCCAGAAAGGAAGGGGAAGCCAATCTGAATTAAGATGTTTTGACTTTGATGATGTGGAATGGAAAATCCTATTACAATTAGTTGTATGTGTGGCATGCAGGGGAGGGGTGATAACAGTGAAATGTGTTCAAAATCTTTCCTATTACCTGAAAATAAAGAAACAAAACAAGGTCTGGCTAAAGAAAAGAGAAGAAGAAGAAGAAGAAGAAAGACGAAGAAAGAGAGAAGAAGAAGGAGGAGGAGGAGGAGGAGAAGAAGAAGAAGAAAAAAAAACCAAGAAGAGAGGGAGGAGGACAGAGGAGAAAGGGAGGGAAGGCTTTAGGACTTGATTGTAATTAATAACACCAGGAGACAATCAGTTCATGATGCGCTCAGAGATGTGATCATCCCTAACTTGGCCTTTGAAAGGCAGACCCCTGACAGAAAAGAAGAGCCCAAGCAGGGCCATGGTGTCCCACTAAGGATTACTGACACACCCAGTGTAAGCAATCATTGATGTTTCTCCAACTCAGGAAAGACAGAAAGCACGAGAGCTCACAGGTAACAAGCAGAGGTTCAGGCAGTTAATATATCTATCTTGAATGGCAACCAAAACCAGAAATGTGACAAGACCCAGCAGGATCAGAGTAACACAAAGATGGGAAAAGAATTGGTGTTTGCTTTTGTTATTACTCTATTATAAATATGTGGCGGTATCAATGAATTAGCTCAGGAGCCGTTTTCCTAAATGATGTATCTGCCTAGTGTTTCCACCTTGTTGGCACACTGGAGTCATCTGGAGAGGTTTTAGATGCTGAAGCCTGGGACTCACAGCCAGAAGCTTTAGACACTGAGATTCTTGGGGGTGTCCAGCTGATTCCCACTGTTCTTCAGTAATTACAGCTGAGGAGATGACCTAAGGTATCTCAGCTTTCCCCACCTAACCAAGGCTAAACAGGTGTCACTCTTCTAGGGACAAAGGTGACACACAGGAGGGATCTGGTTTGGATACCAGGACAGTACCTTACCAGGCATCCTAATTTGAGAAACAACATCTTAACCAAACCAGTTAACCATTGTCAGATTCAGTTCTTATCCTAACTTCCTTCTCAGCTATTTCTGCAATCAGAGCACCAAAAATCCAACCTAGAATAGAGTATTAGGTATTTTGTGTTGGCCACAATGATAGAGAATTTGTTTTCTTCATTTAATCCTCACCAGAACATGGTAAATTGGGTACTCCTCTAATTTCCAGTTGTGCCCAGACATGAAGGACCAGTGAGTCTAGGCAACTTGTCTGAAGACAGGAGCTAGTAAGTAATAAAGCCAAGAACTAAACCAAATTAGTATGCCCTAAAGTCCTGCTTTGAACCAAAGCAGCTTCATAGGACTGCAATACAGGAAATATCAGTTGTTCGTATATCTAGTAAAAAGAAAAAACATTAACAGATCCATTTCAGGCACTTGGTTGGTAGGCATTAAAAACATTCACAAACCCATAGTAAGAGTAAGGGACCTCTGACCTCTAATATTTTCTCCAGAAAGAAGAGAACGTGTCATTAGTGTGTTCAACCTCCACCCAGACCAAGCTGGCAACTGTCCTTTCTTGCTGGAAACTCACCCTGGGGTCTATCCCTGCAGTGTGGAGCTAG